GAACGTAACCGAATCGCGTAGTAGCCGACGATTAACGACCTTTACGCCGGAAACACTCCTAGAAGAATGCTAGGCTCGAGAGAGACAAGTCCGGCATACTCGACGATAACCCCTACCGATAGCGAGGATCTTACGATTCGCACGCGCTACGCTAGCGGGTCGAAAATACGAAAACAACCGGATATACCGGCCTTCTACGGTAAGGAGTTGCACGACGCAAAGCTGTTCCTCCACCGCCTAGAGCTAGCCTTCCTTAACAATAAAGCCTCGTTTGTTTGCGATAAGGATAAGATCGTACATGCGTTGCTATAGCTTAAGGGCGAAGCCGAGGCGAAGGCGATACGTATGTAGAACGTAATAACCATCGAAACCGGTACTTAGCCAGAATTTAAGGAGTTCATTATAAACACCGTTACCGATCCGGCTAATAGGGAGCTCGGATTAATGCTACGCTACGAGTAAGCTACGTAGGGAGCGCACTAGAGCGTCTCTACGTTTGCCTTACACCTCGACGGCCTAGAAAAGGAATTCGACGAGCCATACACTCCTAATTAAAGCCGGCGCCACCTCCTCGCGAAGCTACGGCCAGCCCTACGGGACGCTATCGTTCGGTAAGCGTACACCCCGAAGTCGCGAGAGGAACTAATCTCGCTAGCCGAGAGAATCGAGAACTCTATAGGCGGAGACCGTATAGGTCCACCTAAGAGACCCGCCGCCGACACGTACGGTTACCGTAACTAAAAGAGACCTCGAATAGAGGAGAAGCCTATAGTTCGTAAGGAGGCGTCATTAACTAGTAAGCGGCTACCACTAAACCTATGCTTACACTATGGCGGTAACTACTAGAACCGCAATTACCCTAAGTAGGCCGTAGGACATACGTAGGTAAAGCGCGTAGAAATCCTACACTAGGGAAAAGGTAGGGGCCTAGCGAAGACTCGCCGCTAAAGAAGACCCTGCTAGTCGAGTCTACCCCGGCGATGCGTACGTAGGCCCGCTACGTTACGCCTACGGGCCACGTCTAGGGTAAATGCATTATTAACCCGGGAGCCGACGTAAACCTAGTGAGCCAGTCGTTCGTAGTACAAAACGACCTAGTACCGCTAGCGAACGTAGCGCTACCGAGCGTAAAAGCCTTCTACGGAACAGAGGCACACGTCTACGGAGCCTATAAGTTACGCCTACGTATCGTAGACTCTATATCTATAGCCCGCGAGACGGTCGATATCTACTATGCTATAGACCTTAAAGGACCACCAATATTGTTAGGTTATCCTTAGCTTAAGAGGCAGGGCGCCTAACTAGACTACGTAGCGGACCGCTAGCGCTACGGCGTCGGAACCGAAGCGGTACGCTTATGTTAACCTAAACAGTTTAAGAAACAGCTAAAGAAGGCCGCCTACGTATTTACGGTAAACTATAACCGAATAGAGACCCCTACGGAGCCCTCTTCCTTACTAAAGGAATTCACTAAGTTCGAAGACGTTTTTACATATAAGGACATCGCGAACCTCCCGCGTCCCGAAGGCGTAGAGCATGCGATCCCTATAGTAGAAGGAAGGGATCCCCCTTTCGACTATTATATAACCTCTCTTATAATAAGCTCGATACGCTACGGGAATACCTCGACACCGCACTAGCGAACGGCTAGATACGCCCTAGCGAGTCGCTAGCGGGGCCCCGATCCTCTTCGTACTAAAGAAGGATAGTACCTCACGCCTCTACGTAGACTACCGAGGCCTAAACGACGTTACTATTAAGAACCGCTACCCTTTACCACTAATTAGTAAGACATTAGATCGATTAAGCGGCTCGAGCTACTTCTTAAAGTTAGACTTAAAGGACGCATATTACAGAATCCCTATTAAGCAAGGCGACGAGTAGAAGACTGCGTTCCGCACGCGGTACGGCCACTTCGAATACTTAGTAATGCCCTTCGGCCTTACTAACGCGCTAGCAACCTTCTAAGCCTATATTAACAAGGCGTTAGCGGGGTTGTTAGATACCTGCTACGTAGTATACCTCGATAACATTCTTATCTATAGCATAGACCGCGAGTCGCATGCGGAACACGTACGTGCCGTCCTCGCGCGTCTACGTAAGCACGCCCTATATGCTAATAGGAAGAAATGTGAATTCTTTACTACTAAGGTAGAATTCCTAGGGTTCCTCGTAGGTACCGTAGGCGTAGAGATGGACCCTAGTAGGGTTAGCGTAATCGTAGACTAGCTAGAGCTAGCCTCCGTACATAATATCTAAGTCTTCCTAGGATTTGCGAACTTCTACCGGCGGTTTATCCGCTACTACTTAAAGGTAGTTACGCCCCTTACGAACCTTACTAAAGGCGGCAAGAAAGGCGAGGTTCCTCCTCCCTTTAAGATGACCGAAGCTACTACGTAGGCGTTCCGTACGCTAAAGGAAGCCTTTACTACCGCTCCGATCCTAACACATTACGACCCTACGTTGCCCTTACGGCTCGAAACCGATGCCTTAGGGTTTGCTATAGCCGGTATCCTCTCGTAGCTCGTATAATAGGGTGATGCAAAGGATTAGTACCCGATAGCCCTCTAGTCCAGAAAGATAATCGACGCTAAAACTCGCTACGAGACGCACGATTAGGAACTGCTAGCTATTATGGAATGCTTTAAGCACTAGCGCTACTACCTCGAAGGCGCACCGCATACGACCCGCGTAGTTACTAACTATACGAACCTTATAGGATGGCGCAACGTGTAGGCATTAAACAAACGCTAGAAGCGTTAGGCAGTATAGATAGAGGCCTTTAACTAGGATATTTCCTACTAAGCAGGTAAGCGTAACCTAGCGGATACGCCATTAAGACGCCCTAACTACGCTAGCGGGGAGTAAGCGTTTAACAACCTTCTTCCTACCCTAAAGAGTAAGCTAAACCGTTAGGAAGGTAACGACTACCCGTATATTCGGCGAATGCTTTACTCTATCCCCTTAGCATACGCTAGGATGCCCTCGAGCTAGCGCTCGTAGGACGTAGCCGGAACGTACGGAGAAGGCGTCTAAAGACCCCTCCTAGTTACCGCGCTAATACGGTCGGTCTTAGCGACTTCGCTATACGTAGAAGCTCCGGAGCCGAACCTTATTAAAACCATAGCTGCCTTATAGCCGACGGATCCTTTAGTCCTCGTAGGCGACTCGCACCCGTAGCGACAGCGAGCAGCTAACGCCTAGAACATCCGGGGCGAGCTACTCTATAAAGGGAGTAGTCTATACGTGCCTATAGACACCGCGCTTAGGACGCAGGTAATCCGCATATACTACGACGACCCATTAGCAGCACATTTCGGACGTAAAAAGACTATCGCTCTAGTACGGCGCTAATTTAACTAGCTAGAGCTAGCTACGGATGTAAAGCGATACGTCGAAACGTATGAAATCTGCCAGAGGTCGAAGGCGAAACGCCATCGACCCTACGGCGTTATAGCCGCGTTGCCTACGCCTCTCGGCCTATAGGAAGAACTATTAATGGACCTCATTACTAACCTCCCGCCGAGTAAGCACTATGACGAGGTGTTTAATGCGATACTAGTCATAGTGGACAGATACACTAAGATGACATAGTACATCGCGACTACTAAGCGTTACGATGCCGCTACGCTAGCGGAGCTCTTTCTCGAGCGAATCGTCTGTAGCTTTAGCGTACCTAAGGGTATCGTGTCGGATAGAGGCTCGGTTTTTATAAGCTAGTTCTAGTCCGATATGTGCTATGTAACGCGGGTGAAACGCAGGCTCTCTATAGCCTTCCACCCTTAAACGGACGGCTAGATAGAACGTTAAAACCAGACGCTAGAGCAGTACTTACGCTACTTCTGCTTAGAAAAGCAGAACGACTAGGCACCCTAGCTACCGCTAGCGCAGTTCGCGAGCAATAATAGCGAACACGCTACGCTCCGTATAAGCCCTTTCTACGCCTTATATGGTTATAACCTAAGGCTATACGCCGATGCCCGGGACGGGCCTCGAGAAGGGAGGTACCGGCAGTAACGGACCGCGTAAAAGCCCTATAGGCCGTAAGGGAAGCGCTAGTAGGAAGCCTAGCAGACGCAGTTAAACAACAATCTTAAGGCTATAACAAACGCTATAAGGAGCGCGCCTTTACGGTTAACGACAAGGTAATGCTGTCGGCAAAGAACCTTAAGGTTCGCTAGCTAAGCCGTAAGCTCTCCCTACGCTTTATCGGGCCGTTCTAGATAATAGAAGCAATCGGAACGTAGGCGTACCGCTTAGCCTTACCTTAGAACTATAGCCGACTACATAACGTCTTCTACGTTTCCTTACTCGAACCATACCACTAGCGGGACGGTATCGAGGCCCCTAAGTAGAGTACTCTAGACCTTATCGACTAGCGCGAGGAATAGGAAGTAGAGGAGATTATAGATCACTGCGGAATAGGAAATAGAAAGGCCTTCCTTATAAAGTGGATAGACTAGCTAGCAGAGTATAACAGCTAGGTACCTGCTAGCGACATAACATATGCGAACACCTTACGAACAGCGTACGAGGCTAAGGCGACCCCGAAGCGGAGGGGTCGGCTAAGGAAGCCGTAAAATAAAGAAAACATAGCAATAAAGAGATAAGGAGAAAAACTCGCGTTAATTACAAGAAAAAACCTAAAAACAGGCGCAACGCCGGCGTAACTAAGGGGTATCATATGGCCTTCGCGGCCGACAAATACGGGAACCGTAGGCTTAACTAGAGGCACCATCCTAACCACTATCGGTAGTAGAGGCAGCGGCGGCAGTAGGGGCGGGGGCAGGCGAGCCGCCGGAGGAGCTCGAGCTAGATGAACCCGAAGAGCTACGAGAACCCTAGCGGGACGCACGGTCTCCCTCGTCCTAGAGGTCGTCCTCGGACTAGTTGTAGTCGTCTAGGTCCTCCTCCTCGGTCTCCGTACCGTAGGAGGGTGCATTAGAGTCATTATTAGATAACTCGTTAGCGGGACCCGTAGGTACGTAGCCGGCGAAGTGCTAGGCGAGCGCCTCTAGAGCGCTAGCGGTGCGAGCGTTAGCGTCGGCGTTCCTAACGGCGGCGCGGCGAGTCTTAGTGGACTCCTATATATATAAAACAAGTTAGTAAGGGTTCGCGCGAGACGAAGGCAAAACGTAGGGGAAAGCAACATACACGGGCGATATGCTTAAGGGCACCGCGCTTATGGACTTCCTCGCGGAAGCCGGCTAACTTAAAGAAGTTAGGCTTAAAGGCCGCCTTGCCCTTATCCTTAACGAGGCGGACGTCGCTAATGTAAGTGTTGGCGTTATGCTCCTTACTAGCGAGGCAGCGAAGGAAGCGCTTGCGCTTACGCGTAACGGCGGCGCGGAGCACGCGAGTCTTCTAGACTCCGAAGGCGGAGACCCTACGGCCCGCACGCACGCGGTTATAGAGGTCTAGCTTACGCTGGGCGCGGATAAGGCGGTTAAACGCTAGGACAGAGAAATCGCCCATAGGCTTATAGTCGTGCTTAGTGGTTAAGCACTAGTTGCACTTCTTTAGGGGGCTAACATGGAACTCGCAGACTATACGCACCGTGTTAGTAGGGCCTACGAAGGAGGAACGTAGTATAAACCCTTCTCGCCCTAAGAGGCCCACTCCTTAGCGTAGCGAGCGCACTAAACAACGCCATCGGCGAGGGGGATGGGACGGCCGACTGGGCGGAATGAAGGCATAATGATGGTATTAATGGAGGCGGGGTGCTAGCGAGGCGGCTACGGTAAGATGTAGTGGTGGATAGTAGACGTAAGGGGAGCGCAGGCCGAAGTGATAAGGGCGTCGAAGGAGGAAGCACAATAAAGCTGCCGCGGATTATTGTTGTGTGCGCGACGCCGCTCGCGGCAACGCCAAGGCCCGAGGAACGCGGGGCGACGCGCAACGCGCGACGCCGACGCTCCGCACGGGCCCCGCATCCGGCGACGACAAGGTGTCGTATCTATCTCAGTCCTTAAGCTATCGACACCAGGTTCGAAGCGGCATAGTTCTCCGAGGACAGCCTCTAGGGACAGAGCCCAAGAAGGGGAGGTAGTTGTAACGGGAAGCCGCTAGGGCGACCCTGTCACCTCCCTACTCCCTACGCCGAGCCGGCGTTTCCCGTGCGGAACGCTAGCTAGCGCAAAAGGGAATCTTAGGATACCGGGAACGGAGCAACGAATAGCTTCGACCATAGGCACTAGTTGCCTACGAGTAATCCATACGTTACTATATACCTTTATACTATTACAGTTAGCTACCTATCCTAACATTACTATACCTAAATAGCTTAGTTATATAGCTATTAGTTCGTGATCTATAATCTCTACTTTCTAGAATAATTATCTATAAGTTTACCTTATAGTAATTGCTCGGACATCCGAAATAAATATGTTATTAAGTCTCTCGACAATTAGAGGTAAGATAGATCGTCTCTAATATGTCGACGTCTAAGTCTAGTAGCGATTAGGCCATTTAATAGCTTTACGATAGCCTTAAGATTATTTCTTATATAACCGGGCGAGATAACGACATTATTATAAGCGAAATCCATCTTATAGTTAACTACATTACATTATATGCAGTACATATTAGATCTACCATCTTATTCGGAGATGGTCTTCGCGAAGCGTAGTTATTTAACGAGATCGCTTACTAATTTAGAACCTACCGCTTAAGAAACTATAACGATCGTTAAGTCGGCCCTATTTTTAAATGTAATATGCTCGTCTTAAATATCTCTTCCTAGTAGGAATAGCACGTATACGATAGAGCGAGTAAAACTAGTTACGACGGCCTTTCCTAGCGATAAGAAAGGATTATTACGATCTAATAAACTCTTATCCTCGATTACTCGTTACATCTCTAGTAGTACTAGTGTAAACAGAGTTATAGTAATAGCCTTACGCTCTAGTAGTAAGTTAAGTTCCCGGCGCCGTACGAATCTAGTAAGCGAGAATAGAGGAGAACCTATAGTCTTAGTCTAGTAGCGATTTTATATGCATATTGCTTATAACTTATTCGGACGTAAGAGAAGCGGTCCCTTTCCGCGACCTTAAGGGAATAGCTATTACTAAAGAATAGGCGAGCTAACTATAATAAACGTAAGAATCTAGCGAACGAACGTCATTTATAATGCGGTACTACCATTTAGCATTTAGCCCTATATCTTTTTATGTCCTAAAGCTAGAGCTATAACACTTAGCATACTGCTTAGACTCGCGTCTATATTATATATAAAGGGACTATCCTAAGCTTCTATAGATAATATGTCCCTACCGTATGTAGCCTAGTCTAATAGTAGATAGAGACTACTACATTACGTTATCTAAGTAGATTTTTCGACCTAGAGGTAATATAGAATGGTAGTCGCGCCGCTCGGTCGCTAACTTAGCTTACCGCGCCTAAAGAATCTATCGGAGATAGCGACACGTAGCAAATAAGAACGGGTAAGATTATAAACGCCCCTAGACACCCTTTTCCGAGTAATTAATCGTGGCTTATACTACTAACATCCTAATCGTAAACTACGACATATCGTATAACTGTTACGGCATATACTCTTAGCTTTAGTAAAAGGTACTATGCTCCTTATAGCACCGATACATACGAGGGTTTGTCCTATTTCCGCCTCGCTTAAGATTAGAAACGCCCGTAGCCTTTAGCACCTATTTATAGCTTCCTAGCTATATCTATAGTGTCCGCTTAACGACGGCGCTTTCCTATTATTCGAACTACTTTACACTTTACGGTACGCGTAACCCCGTCTACCGAGAGCCTCTCGTTTTTAATAACTATTAATGCTATAGCTTATCTCTAATTCGTCTTCTAGGTTAATGAGTAGTCGTAACAACTACTACTACATTCGGAGTACGTGCCATTCTCGCCTAATTACTTACTAATTATAAACTATGTTAGCGCTAACTAAGTTCCCCTATATACGACATAGTCCCGGAGGCGTCTAGAAATAGAAAATAAGCGCCGCCCTTCTCTAGATTGTTATTATGTACGCTATCGTGTCGGCGCTACTAACATATCTATATGATTTTGTTACTACCTCTACCTTTTATAACGCTACTAACATGCCGGCGTAATCTCGCTTATGTAATACCGCTCTAGTCCGCATTATCTGCATTCTCGAAGACCGTACGACATTAATAATGTAATAAATTTAGTCGCTAACTTAGGAGCTTAAAAAGCGTTCTCTTCCTGCTCTAGTTATTATAACGTACCTTCTATAGTAATAATTTTTACGTTTCTATATATCTGTTGCTTAAAAGATCCCTAAAAACGTAACATAACCGTACTAGCGACACCTAACCGTATGTATGCTATCCTCGGTACTTAACGTACCTAGCCGGCACGTTACTCTTAGTAATAGCTTTACTCTAGTAGTTTCTCGTACTAGCGTAGCCTTCGTCTAGTGTTGTCGCTCCGTTACGGATTATCTTATACTTATATTAAGTCGTCTCTCGTTTAAACTCCTAAACTTCATTCTTATCTTAGTTTTATCTCTTACTTTCGCTTCCACTTTTACTAAAGGAGTTAAGGCTACTTCCTTAGATCTACTAAAGCCTAGGAGGGTAGGTTTCGCACGTTATACATTTAGTATATGGGCATAGGTATGCCGAATCTTATCTATGTCGCTCGAAGCTACTAACGGATATAGTCCTTTTATATATCGCTTAAACTTCTCTCTACCTAGCCGTTAATCCTACTTGTCTTTCTCGGCTTCGACCTATATGTTGCCTCTCGTCTTTTACGCCATCCTCTAATGCTTATTATTTTGCTTATGTCGTTATACTCGACATCTCTTATAACATTCGTATAAGCCGTCCATTATTAGAATAAAAGAAGATTATCTTCTATAGCTTATAACATATTACCGTCGTAATAGCTACCCTACTAGATATGTAGAAATTCTCGGCGAATTTTCTTTCGAAGGCTCCTATTAAGTGGATTATTTCGTCCTAGCCTATTATCGCCCTCTTTACACTAGAGAAAGATATAGAGAGAGCTTAGCACCTTAGTCTGCCCCTTAGTTATAATGGTAGATTAGGTTTCCTCTTACTCTAGATCGGATTTTAAGAGGTTACTCGTAAACTAATTATAACCTTAACTATACGTATTAAGGTTAGCTCGGAACGACGTAGCTATAAGTAATCCTTACGTAGAGGTCGCCTTATGTTCTTAGTTATCCTAGTTAAGTTACTTATAGTCCGTTATATTAATATTGCGTATTATACCTTATCTAAGGATTCTACCCTTATACCTGTCCTTAACTTACTAAGTGACCGGTAGTCGGCTAATTATAGGGTTTCGAGGATCGATTTCGATATTAGTGCTATAAAAAGTTTTGTAATCGTGCCCTTAGAGCTAGTGGTTAGCGTTTAACTAAGATAGTTAATAGATCTTCTAGATCGACTTAAGTCGCTTTCCGAAGTATTAAAATTCTAGCTATACGCTAATTATAACTAGGCCCTTAAACAGTCTGTCGAGTCTATCCGAGCCTTATTAAATCGAAATATAAGTTCTATACTTACTCCTAAAATTAAGCTTAAAGCCTTATATCCTAGCCGACGTAAGGCGGCTATTAATCTTTAGGAGAATTAAGGCTAGCATCTAAGAGGAAAGGAGGAAGAGGAGAAGGAGGATTAAAGGTATGAGAAGGGCATTTACGGCAATGCCCCGCTATACGCTAGTCTATATATAGAGCATCGGCTTATCGACGCTACTAGTTAGTATTATACTAATCCTACTACTACCCTTCCGCTAGATTATAAGCCTTATGCTTCTAATCCTAGTTTACTAGCGTTACTTAATAAGCAAGATTCACTATTATTAGCTAATAGCACTCGTAACATTTCTGCCGCTACCGACATCTCCTTCGTTAATAACACCCCCTTTAAGCGCCTCTTTTCCTTAAGAACTCCGCCGCTACTACCGCTACCTAAATCCGCTCTTTCTTCTAATTACTCGGCCGACCTTCTATCCGAACGATCTAGATATAGTAGTTCGTTTCTGCCTAGGGCTAAAGAAACCACTCTTACTAGGCTAAATGCTCTAATTATGTTTTAATAATCTTCGAACATTGAACCTATCTATTCTAGTGTTCCGGTCGGCGTATAGTTACTCTCTAGGTCCGTAGTACTAACACCTTAAAAGAGACTAGCTAGCACTTTCGAGCATCGTAGTAGTAGCGTAAAGCGTAAAATAGGTAGTTCTATGTCACTTCTCTCGAGACGTTTAGGCGGTATGCTTAGCTTTTAGAATAATTACTACTAACACGCGCGATATATAATGTAGCGTAGCGTATATGTTTCGCCCACTATTATAGATAAGATACCATGTCGTAGTGTACTACTATCGAGTAGTCCATATAAACTCCCTAGGACCGTTATACCTTCTACTTACGACCGAGACACTCGCCTTATATTAGAGAATAATACGGATGGTCTAAATCTCGAGGTTTGCCTAACGTAATAGATTACTTAGGTATAGACGATTTGTCCGGACATGTATTACTCCTTCGTCGTAGACCTTATAACTCTAGGCTCGGATGTAAGTAATAACGATACGTAAGTATTCTACGACCGACGTAACGCTCTTACTACTTCTCTACTTCGCTATTATATAGAGAAAAAGTCTAGGACGGATATTACGACATAGGCTATAACACTTCCACTTACTAGATATAACGCGCTTCCTAGACTAATATCCTAGCTCTATACACTTAAGCTAGGGTGTTACTAACCGCGTTTATAGATTTACTAAGCCTATCGTAACTAGAACGGCGGATGCTCTCGTATAACGAGGACTATAAAGAGGTCTTCTACCGGTACAAAAAGAATGTACCTCTATCGTAAGTCGAGCTTATGTTCGGGTAAGCTAAACGGGAGATAAGGGTAACGTAGGTAGAAGAATGTAGTAGGAGAGAAGACGACTAATGTAATTAGACCGTCCTAGGCGTTATATTTTATAAGAAATCTAGAAATGAAAATTCCGTATCGTCTATTTAAAAGTAGTCTATATTATCTACATTTATTATCTCGGTTATTCGATTTCTTACCTCTCTACTTATATAACTTAAATGCCAATTTTATAGTCCGTTCTATAATAGACTACGGGCACCGTTAAAGTGGTGCTTTCCGTCGCCCTATATAGAAGTTAAGCCTTAAATCGAAGCTAGCGAACTTTATAATAGGTCTTAGCGCGTCTACCGACTCTAAGTTAATTATAAGCTTAGCATTTTGTTATAACGTAGCTATACGTAACTAAAGAGAGTGCATCGGCCCGTAAAGCCTCGCTATATAGAAAACTAAAAGTAGTAAAGGGTAGAAGTCGGTTGCTAAGTAAGCTATCGAATGTAAATACCGCATTCTAAGAACTAAGAGAGTAGCTAAGGGGCGTCGCACACTCTATAGACCTGCCGTCTTATATATATACAATACCTTTAGCGGACAGCTAATCGCGCCTTACGGCTTTAAAACGTGTCTCCGGCTATAGAGCAATTATAGAGTATAGTGTAACGATTATTACGTCATGTTCGTCCCGCGGTATGCACTACATTACGACCTGTTTTCCGCCTCGCTAGCGATAGAAAACTCTATAGCGTTCTATATAGATCTCTAGCTTTCTACTACTCTTTTCGTATGCCGATTAATCGAGAGTCTCTACGATGGTTTAACGCTAGAAATTTTAATGTAATTACTTACTAATTTCGTACCGGCAGCTTTAGTATATAGACCCTAGATATGTAATAATAAGCATTCCCTTATTATATATCGTACGGCTACTATTCGTAAATAACGCACCGGATGTAGAGAGATTCTATTAGCAGTTTAGGACGATCTCTATAAGCATAATATCGCGTCTATACCCTAAGCTATTAAGCTCATTTATGCCTATAGAAGTGTCTCGCCATCCTAACGCCCATTAGTTCTTAGCTTCCTCTATAGGGCTTTTCGAAGGGACTATGCCGTATGCTTTACGTAGTTATCTATAATGTGCCCTATAAACCTTGCATATGCATACATATTAACTAGCCGGCAGGCAAGGCTCTTATATAACTTACCGGCTGCTCTAAGTCCTTAAAGCACCAATTTGCTAGTATGGAGCCTCGGCTAGGACCCATTAAAGAAAACATAGCTTTTCTAGCTTTCCTTAAGCATGGAGGGCGAGCTAGTACATACCTAACGCCTCTACGTCACTATAAGTTAAAAAAGATATCCGTTTGCTTACTATTAAACATGAGACATTAATTGCAAAAGCCTTTGCTCTAATCTTAGTAAACACTAATAATAAAAGCAAGGTTGGAGCTGTCTACATCGAAGAAAATATCAGCCAAAATGGTCTAATTATACGTTCCGCGACGAATATAGGATCATAAAAGGAAAGGCGTTCTACATGCAACCGTATCGCCGAATTCTTAAAGCATCTGTTAGGTATCGTTCTAGGTCCGAGATGCGCTCCTATCTTACTTATATCCGTACAGATAGTCGACACCACGAAGAATAATAGAACGAACTGTTGCTAGAGATAATATTTATGTGTTAGAGGAAAATACTTGGTCGGTTACGGTCGAAACATGCACAACACACAAACAAGATCAGGCCTCCTCTACTCCAAAAGTTACAGCAATTATTAGATATCCTAAAGAAAGACGATCGTCATAATCATCTCCGAGACAGCTTTAACAAGAGAGCTAATAAGGTGATCGACTTTCTTAAAGTCCTCGAGCGTCTCGAACGTACGAAGGCATGGGGTTATAAAGGAAGCGATTGCATATAAGGAATACTTTCAAGCGTCCAAGCTCTGCTGCTTCAAATTCTAGAAAGTCAGAAATGGTTATCAACCATGAAAGCATAGTCGTGGCATGTACATTTGGAGAACCTTGTTATACGTCTTTAAAAACTTGATTAGTATCGACACGCCGCGATAAATCTCATAAGTTTAACCAGGCGTTATCCAATACTCCGCAACATTCGGTTCGAAGCGGTGACTATGTCTAATTGTCCCAACAATGAGCAAAGCATAGACTTGTCCGAACCGGATAGAGGGCTTTTTAGTTAGTCCTATTGCAAGCAAGATAAAGACTAACAAGGGTCTTCTTCTTCTCTTTATACACAGGAAACGCACCAGAAGATTTCGACCGCGGCACGACAGGAAGGTAGAGTCCATGCGGAGATTCAACTTCTTTGTTTCTACGAAAGCTTGGAGTCAAATCCAGGAATCATCAGACCACGTGTTATCTGCTCTGAAAAGCATGCTTGCTTTCTTTGTGACATCTTCATAAAAGCTCATGCTCAGTTCTACACGCCCTCAACACACGGGACTTTTTATCCGCGGTGGAGATTACCAAAACCTGGAGGATTCAAGATTTCAAGCACAAAGATTATGTCTACCTTGCACCGTTTCAACAAATCTCTAGAAGAAGAGATAATACAAGACCGCTCAGCCCTGACAGTCAGCACAATGGTCAAAAGGTCCCACCAGATCAAGCGCAACACGGAAAGTACGCTCCATTCTAGACTCCATCCCCATCTCGAACTTGCTCAGAGCGAAGACTTTTGGTCCCTCTCCATTGCCTGATCCTATCATGTACCACCCTGATCTGCACCGATATCCTGATTCAGACCCGGCTTCCCGGTCTTCCTCCTCCTGTCTCTTCGTCGTCCAAACCAACGCCGTCATCAGAGGCAACTCGCGTCCAGCGACCCGAGCGAGTACCTCCCCATATGGACACAGTCTGGTCTGTTGCTGGTTATAAACAATCGAAAAGACTGGATCGTACGGACGTTAGAAGACCAGCCACGTGAGGAGAACGAATTGAAAGGATCCCTCTTGGAAAAAATCATCATTTAGTCGAGGCTGACGACGTCGTCAGATGGCACGAACACAGAGAGAATAGAGCAAAGGGAACCATACACCGCCACAAGGATCACTGCGCTCTGGTATAAGAGGGTGGATGTATATCAGCCATCTACAGACAGATCGAATCTCAAGCAAATAGAGCCGCTCGTCGTTGAACGTGACGTACGGGAATCATGGTATATCAGGAGGAATGCTGTCCCACTTCTCCACCTGTCCCACGACACCCGCTCAGCCCATAGGCTTAAACAGATTCTTGGAGAACAACCCTCCGTAGTCTGATCATGACCTGTTGAGTATTATCCTCCAGTACTTCATCTGCCGATCCTAATCTGTAACCGTGGTTTGTTGACTCAATCCTAAGATGCCGTGGCGTACTGGAGTAAGGCGGGGGGGATGATAACTTCATCTGCCTCGTCGCCCCAGATTGACCAGAGAAGTTCGACATCAGTCTCGGGCATCGTAGTGTTAGCGAGATTAAACCAGATTCCGTTAATCTCAAGCGAGTCGGGTTCCTGGGTGCTGGTGCACGACAGATCCTGGACATCACGCGTTCCTTTGTAGCGAATCCAGTTATGTCCTCGTAGGTTGGAACTGCCAGAGATACAACCTCCTCCATTGGTGGATGCCGCGGCAGCATTGCAAGGTGCGCGCTTCGTGCCGGTAAAAGTGCTTTGTTGATCGGTGGAGGTGCATCCCGAGCAACTTCCAGACGCAAAATAACGGCTTGAGGAAGCACAGCAGACATTGTGGTCTATGCTTCCACACATGGCAGTTCTACCACCACATCTTGGCTTAGAGAACTGCTTCAGGGTGGGTAGTGTTGCATCAGTGAGGCAAATCCAGTGGGCCAAAGCAAGAAGGCCGATAGTAAAGGTGGGCTTCATCGGGAAAGTTGAAGACAAGGGTTTAGGCAAAGTAGATGGATGAAGTGTTTGACTGTCGATTCTGAAGATCACTAGTGAGCGAAGTCTACTCTCTTTATACCTGATCTCATGATGTGGGCGACGCAAGAGATTGTTCCTGTGGCTTTGAAATCACTCAGGGCAGAGTAAAGAATGCAGGCTTACTGAGCGTGTCACATCCACAATGGCATACCATTGAACCCTATGGTACGCAATGAGCTCATAGGATCGATGACTCCTCACGTAGGCTGACGGGAGGATGTACCTTAGTGTAGGCCAGGTTTATTGCCGGGTGTTTAATCTCAAAATCTGGTATGCGGTCTCGAGTCCATGCAGAACCTCGTATTATGGTAAAAGTATCCCAGGGAGGAGGCACTATGCAGCTAGACTGCTCCTGAGAGACGTTCAGGGAGCATAATCACGGCTGATCTGCATGCAACGATATCCAATTATTTCACTATGAAAGACCCTCTAACAGGTAAGAGATGCACCACACATGCACGCACAACTTTCGTCTTGTGAAGCCTGGGTATGTATAGCCAAACTGCTCTCTGCTCGTGTCGCCAGCTGCGCCGACTATTGTTAGCAAGGCGTACTCCCTCAAGGAGCTATTCTTTGTGTTGTCGATTCATGGCTCCATGACTTTGGGTTGGCCCTAAACCCTTAGGAGACATTAAAAGCAAGAAGAGCCTAGATCCTGTGAGTCAAAAGCCCTCACAAAATCTGGTATCGTATGCAGTTTCTATCAAAGAAACAATAAACATCTCGGCCGTAAGTCTCGGTCGAACAACGGTCGCTTGTCCGCGGAGGTGAAATCCACTTTGACTGAATTGGGCGCCTTGATATCCACGTTGCCAACTTAAAACATGGATGTGGGGTAAATAGCCTGTGGGGATATAATTTTGCAAGAGCAATTATTCATCATGAATCCACCCTTGCTTGGAAGGACTTCGATGAAGTCAGTGAGCTCGATCGGAGCCTTGAACATCTCAACCCTACGCATGAACTTGCGAGCTTTTGACGTCCTCACACGATGCGCTGCATAACCACACAACCCGCAGGTGAATTCTTGAGCGCGAAATTGTTGTTACAACGGGTGCCTAAACAATCGACCTGAGTCAATGTTCGAACAGGGCATAGTTGCTCATACATTGAATGTGTATTCTGATCACACCTCGTGATACATTACGAATGACCCGTCACGGAAAAGCCATTACTTCCCGAGCATTTACATGATCGGTCAGAAGCATCACCACTTGGTCGACAGCTATACTGAGGAAACTGGTAGGTGGCATACCCCACTCTAAGGTACGGCATATGATCTCAGACGTGCGTGTACTGCTTCGGGCACCGCCTGGATGCGCTGCTTGGCCTTGGTATCTTCGGTGTTGCTCAAAAGGTCATTCACTTTGCTGTACCTAGGAGACAATTATCAGCTTCCATTACCCTTTCTTTTCCTTTCCTTTCGTCATGATGCACTTTACATATGTATGATTTTGGTCTGACCGGCAAACACTTCAACTTGTTCACAGAAGCCTGGTTTGTAACCTATTTCTGAGTGAGCCCAATCTGACTACAAGCGACCTGACTGTTACTCACGATTTTCTTTCGCCTGGAATGACATGATCTGTGGATAGTCCACTAGGAAGGTCGGATGGATACATGCAGGCTCGATGTATTTCGCAACCAAAGTTCTCATTATTCTCGCAGTTGTCAGAGGCGGATTGCAATGCACTTGCTTACGTGCTAACAAGGATTGCAGGAATGCATTCGCTTCCAAGGTATACATCTCGGTTGCTGGTGGAAAGCGTTCGCCTGTGGCTTCCTCCAATGCTGGTATGACCTCAACTCGCTTCCATGGTACGATCCAGTCTACAAGCCGTCAAAATTCCGATCAGGGCAAACGACTTTGATTTTACTCACTGATATTCAGAGCTTTTTCGAACCTGCCCTTGTAGCTTACTTCGGTCTCTGCACGGATGGCTTGTACAAGGCCTGATAGGAGGTCCTGCGTCATCTGCATGAAATCATCCATACTGAGATACGCTGCACATGCTTTGCAGACTGTAATGTCATTCTTGCCAATTCGATCACGTCGAATCTCTTTCCCAAGCTCGAAGATGCGATCGATACCGCCAACGATAAGCTGCGTGAGATAGGAGTCCCATATATCTCGTGATTGTGTTGATTGTTGAGAAATTCTGGGCGACCTTGAAGGTGACCTTGGGAACATCTCCTTCACAACTTGAATTGATGAAGGGATCTCTACTTCGAGGAACTTCCGATCCTTGAAGTAGCTTCGTACGTAGTCGACTATATGGGCTCGTGTAAACAGGGTCGATCGAGAATGGAGATTCAACATCAAATCAACGTGTCTGCTCCTGTAACGCCGCCCAGGATCTTTTGATCTGTATCGATCTTTCGGGAAGTTGTGTAGGCAAGGACTCAAAAGTACGACTTTCCGCGCAAAGATGCTGAGTTCGCCATCAAGCTTTCTTCTCGGAGCTGTACGCCCAGGATAGCCATGAATTCCGATGATATCCCCGAGCCGGAGGTGACTGTGCTGCACCTCAAGATTTTCGGGCGTAGTATTGTGTTTTTGGCAGACGATCTGCATCTTGTAGCCTTGACTCTCGATTGTGTAGAACGTTAAAGTAGGACCATGGACGCGCTTCTTGGGTCAGCCTCCGATGCCTCTCGAATGGATGGTGTCCGCTTCCTACTTTTGCATGTATACGACCAGCTATACTCGCAGCCAGCTCGGGCCTCTCTTCTCCTCGACCGAGCACACTGAAACGTGCAATGATATCTGCTAGAGAGATTGTCACTTCGAATTCGTGCGGATAAGGGTCGAGGATGGCTCCAGAGCTGAGTTGGCGGATCTCTTCAGTCCGAGGCTCGAAGGAAGCTGAGGGTTGAATGACCTCCATCACGTTTAATTCTCGTTCAAAGTGTACGAAGTCGTCTCTCCAAGCAATTCTCTTGTGAGCAGTCAAACAGAGCAGATCCTCTTGTTCACAAGACTCAGGTTCAGACAGTACGGGGACAATGGCCGCTGTCGAGGACGACGTAATCGGGACTCGATTGTGGCAGAGAAGAGACACGTGCTCACAAGGATTGACACTACGCAATTCACGTCTTTCAAGGCGTGTCGGAAACAAGCATAGTTCAAAAAGCTCGATCAATTTGCTCGGGTTGAGGTTAGCCGCTGAACATATGTGAATTAGTTCTTGGAGGTGGAGTGGCTAATTGATGCAGTCACTTCGACCAGGCGTATATCGTTATTGGTCCCTCGAGGTTAGTGAACGACCTACCTGAGCCACAGCATGTGGAGTTGCAAAGTCTTGTTCCCGAGAGCCGCCACGTTCCGGACCGCGGGGCGCTGGTCTACCATCCACGCCCTCCGCGGAAGCTTGGGTTACGCACGTAAAACTTGTACGTGCGGAGACGTAACAGCTTCGTGAATCGTCAGGTACGCAGTGCGGAACCTGCGAAGTTCTTACTTCGAACTAAGTGGTACCTCTGAATTCTTGTAGACTGTAGTCCCTGTTTACGCAGACCGTATGATGCACAATACACGCTAGCTAACGGTAATGCTAACAGCTGCATAGTTCTAGTGCATTTCACTGACAGACTCAGAGAGCTTATCAGTCATGGGATTCCTTACCTGTCAAAGTTCAAACTACCGCGGGGTGGCGGGCGATGTATACTAGACACGTGCGTATTCGAAAATGCAAGGTGTCAGATAGCTAATCAGTAGTGCCCGCTTTAAGTTTGACAAAAACCCTGCCAGTTTCTTGAGTCACAAACGTCACAGGAGGCCGCTCCTATTTCAGAGCATCGAACCATCGCACTCCATTTGCTACTTCTCTCCCCAATTGACTGTCACTACTGTCCCACTCTCTAGTCATATCCGGAACTGCCAACGAGTCCCCATTACACAAATTCGATGTCTGCACCACATCAACCAACCCGTTTCCGCATTGAGGATCTCTCTCCAGAGGAATACCACGCCGAACACTCGCACCTCAAGGCCGAGATGGGCGACTCGGCCTATCTCGCCCTTCGCAAATCCGAAATAAACACCAGAATGTCAGAAATCGGAGCTGGAATAATGTCGGGTCGAATTTCGCTACCTCCAATCACACGTGTTCAAGAGCCAAATCAAATCAGTCTTGACGGTCGAAAATTCCGCGTTGGAAGTAGCGAAGGGGTTCCAAAGCACATCACTGACGCTATGATGGATTTTGTTTCGAGAGATGAGAAGGAGACTGAGCAGGCGTCTACAGAGGTGCCGGAAGAGTGGTTGCCATATGAGATTAAAGCTGGCGAGGATGAGGAAGAGGAGGACCCTGAAGCTAATGAAAGGCAGCAGGATCAAGAAATTCTGGATGGGAAGTTCTCTGTGAGGAACGTTAAGATGCCGGAATGGAAAGCATCTGCTTAAGCACAGGATATAGCTCTATAACCTCATCAAGTGCCTTTTGCATTGTTCTTACATAAAAGTTGGGGAGACAAAGCACGAGTGTGCGAGTTTAAAAGAATTGAAGAAAAGAAGGAAATACTTGAGGGGTTCGAAGTTCAAGTGTGAGTGCAATTTACAAAGCTTAGATTCGTTGTCTTGAACGGCAATTTATTAATTGTTACCTATGCTAGTTTGACAAGACTCTAGAAAGCAAAACAGATTGGAAAGCAAAACAAATCGGAAAGCAAAGCAGATCGAAAAGCAAAACAGACCAGAGAGCAGAACAGACCAGAACAGTCTCAAAAAGCAACATATCTTATTGAATCAATGATGGCCATGTCGGACCTAGAGATGAGCCTAAGCTGCCTCTAGTCAATTTCCATCACATCTCTAGGACTGTCAACATCCAACTCGATCACCTCCATTGGTCGATCCTCGTCGATTTCAATGATCTCCCTAGGATCATTAGGGCCAGGCGATGGTCGAGGATCAGGTACCCCAAATGCGGTGGGGATGCGAATACGTGTTCCAGTATCAGCATGAACAGGCCCACGTCCCGATTGGTCATGCCAGTGCGGCGGGTCATAATCACCACGATCATCATTTGGGCGATAGAGATGAGGAAAGTCTCTGTCGCGGCGTCTAACTTCTGCGATTAGTAGTTTATCGAAGTCCGTTGGTCCATCAACATTGTCGGTATCGGATGATTCATCCCAGTTCTCACCTTGGATAGTTCTTTGGTCGCGAACTTCTTCCTGGTGGAAAATGAGATTGATTGTTTTGTGATCAGGGTACCTAGAACCGTCAGAAAGAGTCGCATGCAACGAAGAATTGTCAGGAAGAACTGCCAGATTATAGGTATGCTCTAGTAGTTGAAGCCATTCTGTGAAGCGGCGAGCGTGGTTGCGCACACTGTTCTCAGGGTTTCGTGTGATATCTGCAATCCATTCAGCGACTTCGTTTTCGCTCACGCTGGTGGTTCTGTACTCGAAGACTCTCAGACGGCGACGGAATGCTTTGAGGCAAAGTCTTTTCAAGCCTCCTTCAAGGTACAATACAGCATCTGCAACTTCCTGCAGAGTGTCATTGTCAGCCATATCTTCAAGAGCACGTTGACGAGCATAAAACCCCATGTTAGCAAGACCTCTACGAAAAGCGCCAAGTCGATTGCAAAGATCGCGATAAAGCGCATCGTGCAAGTAGGTGCTGTAGTCGGACAAACGTTTGAGTGTGCGTAGAGTGATTGGAATGTACATGGGATCATTCTCGGAATAGATTGGAGCGTGCCCACGACTCGCGACCTGGTCGTATGTAGGTGTTGGCGTGTCGTTGAGCGCGGTCTATGGAATAGGGCCTTGGAAAACTGCAGGTGGGACCTCAGCTGGTGGAAGAGTCCGAACTGGAGTTGTTGGTGGTGGGGGCAGATTTTCATCCATGTGATCACCGGCCTCAGTCGAGTCAATCAAGTTCGGTGTATCGACCCATCTTTGAGGCTCGAGACCATCTGTCTCTCTCCTTGCGACGATGTCGTGAATTTGATCAACCAGCTGATTCTCCGGAACGTTTCGTTGAAACACAGTCTTGCCACCATCAGGGAGCTGACGATTCAGCTCGCGAGCGACGAGCATTGGACCTGTCAATCTACCCGTTGCAACAGCAGTGTCAGTCTCAGACCTTTCGTAGTTCGGAATAGGTGGGTATGAGTGGCTGTGATCTTCGGTGTGCCAGGTTTCGCGAGGAGGAGGAGGCGAGGGTGTGCGCTCGTTCAGTCTGGTGAAACATCCGGTACACGGCTTCTCTTCTCGATGATACACCAACCAGGGGTTAGGGCAGGTACCAAGAGCATTTCCAGCAGCGCACTTGCCACTGTCAGCGTCAGCGCCAAAGTCATACCATCTGGTTTCCCAATGCTTGTTGATACAGTCACCAATCGGGCAGACGAACGTGGTTCGTTCGCCGAAGCACATCGTGCTAGTTTTTGTTGTTGTGTTGAGGAACTCCGATCGTCGGGATTCGAGAGTAAAGTTGTGGAAAAGATTCTTGAACGCCTATCAGCTGTTTTCACTGCTTATATATGTTTTGGTAATCTCACCAGATTTCGACTACCTGATGAGGGCCAACACTGCAGACAATGAATTGTATGGCTGTACAATGAACTTCTGTCATCACTGAAAGAAGCCTAGTGATTCTGCACAACACGATCCTTTGTATAGTCTGTGGCTTCGCGTGGGGTGAGCGTCAGTACCAAGGTACCGTCTTCAGGCTGGGTTATATTAGCATCGATACGTGGTATACATTGTAACACTTGGATAGTCGCATTGAGGTAGGAGTCCTTTGTCTCCTGTATCGAATCAACAAATTAGTATGCATTCTGATGGCTGATGGTGATATCAGTGTCGGAACTAGACACTATGCAAGCCTTGCTACCTCTAGACCAAGGCTGTACACCGCGGGATGCCACTCCTACCGTGTGCCTCTGATCATCGAGACTTCGAGTACCTCTCTGACTCGACACAGAGTATCCTCAGGGGTCTAGCGTCTACCAGTTTTGGCCTTCAAGGTGGCGGCGTCCAACTGGGCGCTTCACTCGGCCATCTTGTGCTTAAGGTCCTCCGCCTTGTTGACCTCTTGAGCGCCTTCCTTGGTTTGAGCATCCTCCTCGTCAACCTCTTGGATAATACCGAGACCTTCTTCGAGGCTGACCTTCTCCAAGACACGCAAGGTGAGGTTCAGCAACTTGAGTGCTTCCTCGTTTCCCCATTCGTACTTGGCACAGCCCGATGCAGCTTCTGTGACAGCCTTGCGCGCGTGCATGTAGGTGTCCTGGGTGCCTTGGGCGAGGAACTGGTAGACATTAGCTCTCTGCTGTGACTCAAAGTTGGGATGTATGTGTGCTGAGGAATAAATTTCGCGTGTAGCTATCGTAATACACGATGTTGACTAAAATTACGAGTTCATTCATTGAGACGGTGGTTTGTCGATTCTCAATGGGACGACCGTGAGTCTTGAAGAAGTCGTGCATTTTGATGATGGAACCAGTGTCCAACACCATAGGGGAGAGAGAACAAGAGATACCACTTACCAGGCGAACGTGAACTGACTCGGGATAGGCTCCAGAAAGCACCAACCTGTGGGCCGACTCCTGACCCTCCTTGAATTTTTCCTTCGAGTAATGCTCGACCATCAGGGTGTAGGAGTTACCTAGCTTCTCCTGAAGTTCTTTCAGAACTGGAATCTCGCATGGAGAGGTACAACTGTGGGTCTGCTACACTCAATCAGCTCTTTGATGTTCTCCTGAATGAAGAACGCGGCACGCAAGATGGAGATCACGAACGATTGTAGAGGCGATCTCGTCGACAGGGGCTTGCTGCTCGGTGGTAGGGGTGTCCTCTTGAGTATCTGACTGGATGTCGACCTGCTCGTCGGGGATTGAAGTGCCTGCGTCGGTTTGCTGGTTGGCCATGATGACTGAAAGATCTGGTGTGTTGCACTCGACCCTTTGCAAGACGCGTGAGTCTTGAAGAACAGTCGCGAAGAAGAATTCACAAGAGTGTCAATAAGACGTGTGCGCAGGCGCGCACGAAAAATGTGCCTCGGTGACGACCCTTCTCCTTTCGGACTAGTTTTCCATCTGGCCAACAAACACTTGCGTCTCACATCACATGACGAATTAAGAGCATGGTCATGACAAAGGAAACTAACATTCGAAATATGTACAAAAGAAACAGAGATTACGAAATTATGCCTGGTTACCCACTTACCTATCCATTATACGCAACAAGGAAAAAACCCAAGAACGAATATCCATCCATACGGTAGACATTGGAGTCGTTAGGCGTCATGTACAGTCCTTGGGTCGCAGGACACCAGCCGAACCCATAGACTACAGGATTCCCATTAGGCGGTCCACTGCTTTGACAATCGCCATAATAGCTTCCAGCAGTACTGCCTCTATAATCGCAGGTCACGGCGTAGGACCCTGAAGAGGGAGCTTCGATGTAAATTCTGTTATCTGCCGTGCTGGAGTCGGGCTCATAGTGGTCAACAAGGGTAAGAGACGAGTCTTGCCACAAGCGAAGTGTGCCAGAGCCATCGACGCAGAAGGGTACGGCTGCATTGGTGTCATGAGTGAACACAACTGCACCCGAGCCGTCACGGCTGACGTAAAGACTTTGATCTGCTGAGCTAGAAAGAAGGAACAGATTTGGAGATTTGGTCGCAGTAGCATATGCTGTGAGTGTTGTCGTTGTCGTTGTCATCACAGTGATCGTTGTGGAGACGGGTGTGGCTTCGACACTGCATGCATTGGTAACGTCTTGAGGAGCAAAAGTGGTGAGGACGCTTGGTTCGCCATCCATCGCGCTTGTTGTAGTAGTCGAGTTTACGGTGGAATACTTGTGTCACCGCATTAAGCATTTGCCTCACCTATGGAGGCAATTCACTCACCACCGACTAAGACAATTCACTCCCCAAATGGGACACTTCTCTCAACCTCCCCAATGCTTTCTTTGTTCGCCAGCATGTATCTTCCAACCACCAACGTACCTCACGCATGATCCTACTAGTAGGATATCTGCTCGACCAAACAATTTTTGTGGGCCTTATCTAGATGCGGCCGATCTCCTCGAGAACAGTAGAGCGAAAGTCTCTATTATAAAGGAAAAGATAAAGTCAACAATTTAGCTTTCTTAGGACCCAGACAAGCCATCATATTCTACTACTCCTACACCTTTTCTTGTTTCGCCGTCTCTAATTGCTACGAAGAGCGAGCAAGGAGCTCTCCGTAACCGACACCGACCCCGTCTCTAAGGATTACCTTAGAGGGGCATTAACAAAACGAAGCCAAGAAAGTCAACATCGCTAGCTACATGCCTTACACTTCGGGACATCATAATCCAATCTCTTAACTCTAATTAGCTACATATAAAATCTATTCTATGCCTACAACTCCTTCGAAGAAACATCTCGACGGACTATATCCCACGTCTGTAAATTAAGCCCTATCGGTAATCTCTAATGTATGTATATGTCGCTATACTAGCCGCCTTAGCGCTCCTTTATGTAGATGCGACTCTATACACCTTCCTTAGGCCATTTGCTTCTATTTCTAGCCTTTATCCCTATAATTTATAGCCCGTGCTTTTGTCGCAATACTAGTTTACTTGTTACTTAATTCGATATATTAAGGACCTACTTAGCACGAGGAAATGTTATCTTACAATAATCTGCTAAATAAGTATTACTATGTCTTCTACTAACAAACAACACGTAAGATAATGCGTCCGAATAAAACCGAACTAGGTCTAGGGTATATCTACATATATGTTACTACACTATGTAGGACAGTTTATTCTACGTAAGGTAGTACTATAGAAGCATCTTAACACGTTATAGAGGACTAAAGATTAATAGGTCGAAAAATCTCGCTTAAAAGGACTTAGATCGAGGATCTAAGTTATAAAATTTTATCGCTTAACTATTAAGCTACTTAAAATCCTTAATCCTTAAACTCATAAAAAACACATAGGTTTTTACTCTATTAAGGAATTCCTATCTCGATATAATCCGTAAACTACGGCCGGTAGGGCGGCTATTAACTAGAGGAATAATTTCTACCGATTAAGAGAAACTTTTAGCTACTATTAACAAGTTACGTAAACTAGGCATTAACGACGACATATCTCTTCCTTAGGTGTAAGCCCTATTCGATACTATCCTCGAAGCTGACTAATTAATTTAGCTAGTTATAGTTAGTAATTAGTCTAGCGGTAAATCGTCTTTACTCGAGGGTTTAACTAGCTTTAAATTTCTAGTTACTATAGACCTCTATACTCGCTTTACAACTTAAATTATAATGACTAGAGCTCCTTAATCCTCGGCTTTTATTCGAGTCTCTATTATTCTAGGTGCCTAGTCCCGTAAAGACGAGAGTGTCGTCGTAGAGTATAAAGATTTTACGCATACGATCGAAGGTAGTAAACTAGAGTTAGATGTGTTCCTTAACACTCTCTCTAAGGTAAGCTATAAAGATAGAAGAATAGCCTTAGAATACTATGCTAAAGAGTGTAGGCTNTCTACTCTTATAGGCCTTCTAAAGGATCTCAAGAGCTCGGCCTTTTATAAAAATCGCTTTTCCGAGGACATACTTAAGATCGAGATAAATGGTCCTACTTAACACCATCTTAGTGTCGTTAATATACCGGGACTTTTCTATAGTTAGTATTTTTCGGGTAATGTCCTAAGGATTCGAGTTAACTTCTATAGATCCGACAATATACTANNGACCGTAGAAGACCTTAATACGATCCGGAACCTAATTAATACATATATTTGTAATGTACGTACTATAATTTTATATATCATNCCTCATTTAAGCCGATACTAGATCTTACTAATAGATAAAAGAGCCGTTATAGATGCGCGTAATAACCTCGCTAATTAAGAGGTCTTTAAATTAGCTCGGTAGAGGGACCTAAAGGGTATCCGTACTATTATAGTTATTACTAAATGTAATGCTCTATAACTTAGAGATAAGGAAGGAGTTAGTATATGTAATTAAACATAAAGTTTATGCTAATAGTAGTAGGTGCTACGAATCGCTAACAATTAAGTAGAGTACCTTGAACACGGGTAGTTTATTATACGGAACCGATTAACGAAAGAGATTATAGAAGGCATAACGATCGAGGAGAGGAATAAGATCGAGGAACAATTCTTTTCTAAGAAACCTTAGGACACGCTTTAAAGAAAACACATAGGTATTCCTACTTTAAGGAAGTTCTTAGGAAAGCTCTTATATAACTATATTAAGAGAGAGTTTCCTAATCTCGCGAAAGAGATCGAGCGTCTTTATGCGGATTCTTAGCTTAAGCTAAACGCGATAGGCCCGTCTCGATAGACTCCGATAGAATAACGTTAGTTCCTTATAGGAATGTCTATATCTTACTAAAAAGTCGTCGAACTGTCGCTACGTAGCGACTATAATTCCTTATTAGACGAATCCTACCCTTCTAAACTCCGTATGTATCTACGGAATAATAATAATTGCTTTAAACGCCGCCTTAGCTCTAGAGGGCATAAGATGATTTTTAGAGAAATAAACGACGAGGAAGATCCCTAGTACTAGAGGGATAGCGATAATGCTAACGATATCTATACGTAGATTAGACTCTAGTATAGGATAAGTAGAGGTATAGAACTCCCCGGTACGGTAAATCCGATTATCCTCGAAGCGCTATTCCGCTAGCAGATAGTTCGGTAGGAGGCTATCTCTACTAAATACATCTTAAAGGTAGCTACAATTATCGAGAGGTTTATCGAAACTGTTTAAGATTAATTAATTACATACGAAACGGTCCGCGATATAATTCTCGCTAGGATATGGACTAGAAGTACTAAAGCATATCGTTTAGTAACAGATGGATTAGCACGGTTCCTAGCAGATAAAAGATCTAGCCCTTTATAAACCATTAATTACTATTTCGCCGACACTTTATTAAGCATTCGCGAGTAGTAAGTATTATATCGTCTTTAAAAAATGGGCATAAGGGAGAATATGTCCTATAATGTTACTATAAGGTAAGTGCTCGATGCCGTACACCTAAGTAACGAGGACTAAGCTATAAACGACATATACGACATCCTTAAAGCATACTATTAAGTAGCTTTAAAGCGCTCTATAGATAACGTTCTAAATACCGTAGTCGAGAGACATCTATTAGGAAGTAATAGAGCTATACGATGTTTCGGCCTAGAGTACGTTAGTAGGTTAGGGGATAAAGAACTTACTAATATTGCTAAGGAGACTAATAAATCTATGTCTAAAAGGGGGATGCATATCGAAAGATGCAAATGTTTAAAGAAGCGATAAACGTTATACGCGGCATATAAAGCCTATTATAAGAAAGAATGTATTACGCGTTAGAGGTCTATTTCTAGTAAGCTATAGCCCTAAGCGAGGTTATTTTCCTACCGGGTTTTCCCTCGTTAATAACGCGAATGCGAGGGCTATAGATGTTTACTTCGATAGTTAGCATTATCTATAGAAGAGCATTTACGTCGTTAACCTTCGGTACTTCGATTAATCCACTCCGATCGTAATGCTATACGCCGTTATATTGCTACTAAGAACCTGCGTTAAGTTACTAAGTTCCTAGTTAATAGAAAGTTAGAGAGGTTTCGTAAAGAGATATCTAAGATACGGCTTAAGGTACTAACTAAGCGGAAGCTATAATCCCGAAACCGCGAAATTAGCATAGTCGCGGCGCGTAGCTACTCCCGGACCCTTATTATCGATAACACTACTAACATTACTAACACTAGCACTACTAACGGAATACACTCTCTCGTACCGCCTTAATGCACGTTTTTACTAGAGCGCGATTATCCTAATTTCTTGCCCGTAGTTATGTTATCTATCGCCGACCTATTATACCGCTAGCCGCTAGTACCCTTTTATGTTATCGATAAGCCGAAGTGTTAGAAGCTCTAGCCGTCGTATATATAACAGTTTACCTTCCTCCTCCTTATAAGCCTATGCTATATTACTAGCATTCTACGGCCGATTTTCTAGTATCGCGACGCGACACACCTTATCTATGCTCTATTACTTTAGATTCGATCGATATACGTATAGCGCTACTCGGCCGACCCCTCCTTTAGTTATTATCGTTAACCTACTTCGAAGTATAATTATACCGCTTTTATAGCATAAAAGAGGTATAGTAGTAAGAATAATAAGATATCCTAGCGGTTAAGAATGTATCATTTACGTTTATTAGGACGAGTATAGAAGCTCTAAAACGGGCATCTACCTTCGAGTTAAGCTTTATATACCTCTACGTCTCTATCGCCGTTAAACAAATCTATATCTTAAATGCCTACCGTTACTAGTATAGTGTCTTTGCTAAACGAGGTATACTTATAGGTAGCTAAGTTTATAGATACCGAAACCCTAAAGAAGCTTAGGCTTACTAGTAAAGCGATAAACGCTTTAGCTAGTCCTATCTTTACTAGAGCGAGATTCGAATTCGTTAGCGTCTCCCTAACCTACGACTACCTCTAGCGGTTCTATAACATATATAGTAGTAGCCTAATCGCGCCTTATGTTCGATCGGTCACTTTTAGTACCCTTACCCCTAGCCGAGAGAATTTAGAACTATTATTAGCGCTACTTTATAATTAAGACTAGAACGACTACGATAAAATCTCGCGCTTACTATATAAGCTCGCTATCTGCTCGCGAGACTATAAGGAGCTTTATAGTACTAGCCGCATAATCGCTTCTATCTAGAACTCGCTAGAGAATTTGCGCCGTAACGGAAACTCTAAAATCGAGCTAGGAATTGTAGATAATAAC